ATATATACCAGAGTTTAAAATACACATTTCTAAAAGAATATCAAATCAACTGAAATGGTGGCAGTTATACCAAGCAATGGGTAGAGGAGGTTAGACCAGACATGGTGGTGGTCTGTACAGATTCTAAAGCAGTTTTAGAAAGTATTCAGGGAGAAGGAAATTATAGAAAAGATTTAGTATTAGAGATTCAACACAGTCTATTTAGATTATATAGGGTTGCCACTGATATTTGTTTATTTTGAATTCCAGCACATGAAGGTGTAAAAGGCAATGAAAATGCAGCTATATTGGCAAATAGGGCTTTAGAGGGAACAATAGCCTTTACAATTCCTTTTGGGAAAGAGGAAGGGAAATCACTTATTAAGAGTAAAGAAATGGCAAAAGAGATGGAACAAAGATAAGAAAGGTAGAGGATTATATAAGGTACAAAAATCAGTATTAAATAAAAATCATTAATGAGAGAAACAGAAGGGAAGAAGTAGTAATGCTCAGATTTACAGTTGGTCATACCTATTTAAATTACAATTTATATTTAATAGGGAGGAAAAATAATGATAAATACGAAGAATGTGGAGTTTCTGTTTTTATTACATTTTCTCCGCAATCTCTCCGCAAAATGCAGGCATAAAAAAAAAAAAAAAAGAAAATAAAAGGCACTCTTAAAAAATGTCTTTAACACAATATACCTAAAGAACTCTATCAACTGTATTTTCCAAGAGCATGTATTTACATGATGGTTGTATGATTTGGTTAAAGGTATAGAGGATGATCTTTTATTTCCGGGTGGATCATCTAAATAAGTGGTCCTACTAATTATCAATCATTCTGGTATGTTTACGTAAGGCCGTCCCACGTGCTCATCCCGTTAGCTATGTTTTTCTGTGCATTCCCACTTTCAGGCGTATATCTGGTGAGCTGCAGTTTCAGACCGTCATTGAAGCTCACCTTTCTCACCATGGTTCTTTGAAAATGGCCGAATGGCAGAAGAGGCAGATATACCTGGAATGGTTTGCGAGGAGAGCTGTACTTGCAAAGCATTATGGGACTTGCTGTCACAGGGGCCCGCTGTTGCCATAGGCTACCGCTACCCAAAAGCAGCTGACTTATAACAAAGATGGCGCAGGCAGCGTGTAATGGACCAACGGGAAAGTGATCATCTGTCGGTCAGTTAACTGAGTTTGCTAAAACGTCCACTATAAAGTCCTCACTCTATATAGTGATTGATTATTGAGTAAGCTTGTATGAATTATGAGAACAGCAACTTTTAAACAGAGCGTGCATGAGGGGAAATGGGTTTGTGCATGCTCTCGCATGCACAATTTTTTTTTAAGTGGAGAGGTCGGGTCTTTTAAAAAAATTGAGAAAATCCTCCACAATTCTTTAAAGAAAATTCCAGCACATGATTCAACATATAAAGCCATTAGCAGTTAAACAAGGGCACATTAAAACCCTGCATGTAATTTTCAGTAATTATTTATTATAAGAGTACATCTGGTCCCACTCTGACCTAGTGTGGGACCAGCATTATTTTAACACTGCAACATTTACTGTGCATAGCTGTAGCCGTGTATTTAGCCACAGGTCTTTTAGGTGTTGAAGTATTTGCAAGACTGGTGCATCATCTATCCTGTCATCAGTACTTGGCCAGATCAGCTTTACAGTCTGAAATTGTAAAGGGAAAAGAGTATTTGATTAAATCTTAAAACAGCTTGCCAACTCCTGTAAGTGAGCCACTACTGTAGAAGGATCCCATTTACTAATTCATGAGCAGCTCATCCGGTTAACTGGAAGTGACAAAGGCAGAGAGAATGATCTCAATGTGAGAGGAACGCTCTATGAGCTTTTTCAGACTGCTTCCGTTGTCCATGACGTGTCTGGACATCTGTTTCTTGATAAAAAGGTCCCAAATAGTTCTGTAAGGGTTCTTATCATAACAAACATTTCCCTGCTACTGTTCATTTGTAATGACACAGAAAGTAAATTTTTTCCTACTTTCCCACTACCATGTAGTGACACTGAGTTTCCAGTTAAAGAGCTTATTTAAACACTTAATGGCAGCACTTCATTCCTTATGTTTTCTTATTTTCCTTATAGGGATAGATATTAAGAGCCGATTTTTAATGAAGAATATGCTTTAAGTGTAGGCCAGGTCAGTTTGAAAGCCAACTTTTTCTACTCAGTATGAAATTCAGTGTCTTCGAAAAGTGTTAATAATAATTTGTAAAATTAGTCAAGAAGATAAAAAAAGATCTTGCTTAATTGTTGCATTTTTATGATAAACCAACACAAAGATTTGATAAACTTAAAAAAAGAACAAGAGACTGGACTTTTTTTGTCATACTTAAAACCTATTTTTCACAGTGGAAATGCTCACAGCTTTGAGATAGACTCAAATTATTTCCTTTTTTAAGTCATTCTGAGTAGATTAAAAGGGAAATATCCTTTATCATCTTATTTTTGCAGTGTTTTGTTTGATTTTGGACAAAGGGATGTTCAACAAGTCCTCCCTTAGTCTCATAAAACATAAAATTACATTAAAAGATAAATATAGACTATAGGAGTAAAAATACAACAGAATCTAACTACCTTATGGTCACTAGTGTACCAATTAATAATTTAAAAAGAAAGACAAAAACTCTTTAATGAAGTATCAAAACCGAAAAAAAGGCTCCCAAATGATTCTCTTTTTTGCCACTGCCAGTATACGAGCTACAGAAGACATTAGTAAAATGTCTAATAAGATTTTTGCAGCTGTTTTAAATATCCAGTTCACCTATAATGAACTACAAATGTAGAAAGTAGACATCTGATTTTGTTGAAAAAGCAAACTGAAGCAAACATTTAATGGGGTCTAGGTATTCAGCTATTTATTTTGTTATTTATCTTAATCAAACAGGCTTAAATTGTTAGACAAGGACATTTTGTAAAGAATTATACAAAGGAACACAAATTCCAGCTGTTTTTCAAAGTTGTCCTATTTAGCTAGCTCTAGAGAAGGAGATATAAAAATAATGCAGGGACTTTATAGCACCTTTTATTGTTGTGGTATATATATTTAATTAGAATAATTCAATTCAGTTTATTTATATAGCGCCAATCCACAACACATTTCATCTCAAGGCACTTTGCAGTTCACCAGCTCATACAGTCAAATTGATTCAAAGTTTTCTATCCAAGGAAAACCAGTTGATTGCATCGACCCATTGACTTATTCCAACTGGAAACTGTAATGTAGAGCATCTAGATTTTATGATACGAAAAAGTAGGATATAATTATAAACTGGCGGAAAATTATTATAATTTAAAAAAATTTAAAAATTCAGTTGAATTTTACCTCAGTTATTAACTACCTTAAACTGAGGTATTAAAATAGATCCCAATCAAATCCAACCAATGCCCTGAGATGGCCTAGATGCAGTTTGATGGTGGGAGACGGAAGGACTTTATCAAAAAAAAACAAAAAAAAAACCTAAAACTCTTAATCCATGACTGAAGCTGTTGTAATACATTTAATTTTTTTTTTTTTTTTTACATATTTTCAAATAAATTAAATTATGTGGATATAATTGATCTTTTTTTACTTAAGGTGTTTGCATACTTGTTCTAATTTTGCTGAAAAACCCTCTTATTGCACCTGATTAGTGAACTCTTTTGGTTTGTTGAATCAAGTGTGTTTTATTATTTAGTTTGGATTAAAAAATTTGATATTCTTACCTCAAATGATCTTAAAACATGATTTTATTGAACAACAGCAACAGAAAAGAGAACTTTTAACTTAATACTCTGAGCTCTGTGAGTTAGGAAGATGGGCCGCCAACCAATGGCCAGAAGATGAAAGACACAGCCCTTCATCATTTGCATAATGAGGCAGAAAAGCAGACAGAAGTGTAAAAACCACAGGCAGAAATAAATAGGGTAAAAAAATACAAAGGAAGAATAAAACAGACAAAAATATTATCATATACACATAGATAAATAATAAAAAAATAAGTAAAAAATAAATAAAGTTGAAGATTAAAACGGACAATAAATAAATAAAGCAATTATTACAAAGGTGAATGAATAAAGAAGCTAAATAAAGGAGTTTCATACATTTATACCTCACTGTATAATTTAATTTCTCCCTGCATTCTTTTTTTATCGTAATTTTGGGGGCAATGAATTGTATGTTTATTTATTTTTGGAGCATTTATTTATTTCTTTATTTATTTTTAAATATGCCAGTTGGTCCTCCACAGTGCTGTACCATGCTTTTCCTCTAAGGGTCAGTATAGACGCGTGCAACGTAAATGTATGTAAGGAGCCGCTCAGTCGGTTTGCAAAAATAATCAGTCAGACAGTAGGCCAGATATGTTGATTGAAATACAACAAACACTTTACAGAATAAATATGATTGGGCTGGTTGTAAATTTTGTTAGGGTTGCGGCACATAACGAGATTAAGGGAAATAAAATGGCAGACGGGATGGCTAAGGAGAGTACAAATAAGGTAAGGATAGAAATTAATGTTAGTTTTAGTAAAACAGGAATAAAGGGTATAATTGAAAAAATAAAACAACAAAAAACAAATGAGGTAACAAAAGTTATGGGAAGAAGAAAAGAAAGGAAGGCGGTTCTATGAAATTCAAAAGAGAAATGGACAAATTAGTGGGGTTTTTTCTCATGCGTTCCACACTCCTTACCAGTTGGTGGCGGTAATGCTCACCTAACGGTTTTGCAAACCGCAATAAATAAACAAATAAAAATGTATAGAAGAAGAAGCAGCCGCAACTACTGGTATCCGTCCATAATATTTGCATGATGACAAGGTTATAAAAAGTACAGTTCTGTATTTTACTGTCTTTTTCGAGATGTTTATGCATTAAGGTCGGCAGCAGTAGTTGTGCTGCATACATTTTGCCGTTTTTTTTTCCCGGGACAGGGGCTTTTATGTTAATGCTAACAGGTTAGCTTCAGTATGAACTCTCTGGTTGGTTATGGAGTTTCCTCTGGCAGTGAGGGAGAGGAGGAAGGTGTTAACGAAAGGACAGCTAAGTAAGTTAATCTACTTATCACTTGGGGGGAAAAAAAGAAGTTATATTTGGTGCCACTCTAATTAGGAATTGTTGGTGTTTTTCTCAAGCTCTCTACAGGATGAAGATGATGACTCTGCCCCTGTCAGAAAGAGCCGCAATTTCTTACTGGAGTCTGACGCAGCATCAAGTGAGTCTGACTCAAGTAAGGAGGACCAGGATCCATCATCATCTCTTCCTCCACACCTCCAAACAGCCGGCTCTTCTGCATCCTCCCGGCCCATCCAGCATCCACCCCCCACTGACGCTGTTACCCCTTCTAAAAAGTTACCCCCTCCAACGCTTACCGCCTCCTCTGACTGCAGCGTCTTCTCCAACCCCTTTAAAACACAGGCCGACCAGAAGCTCAGCGCTTTACAGAAACATGTCCCCCTCACTATGCAGGCGAAGCCCGCCCAGATAGGGGGCAGAAAGGTGTGTGTGTCCTACAGAAAAGATGGACGGTGCAGGTTTGGCATCAAATGCAAGTTTGCTCACGACAGCGACCTGCAGACTGCTGCTATTCCAGGGGACTGTCAGTTAGTTACGAGCAAAGAGTCACCCGGGCCGGGTGGAGGATCTCAGCGGGAGTGTAATGAAAAAGAGGCTGAGCAGCAGCAGATGAAGAAGAGGAGAGTTGGACTGAGTAACTCACTGATTCCTCCTAAAAGAGCGCTGAAACAGTACTCCATGCAGAGAGACAGAGAGCACATCAATATGTCCCGATGACTCAAATGGGGACTGTGAATAGAGTTCTGGGTCAGACATTATATCAACGTCCTAGTGTCAGATTTATTTTTGCATACTCTCTGAGGACCAATTTGTGTTGGAGTGAATGTTGACTTACCTGTAGATAGTTGCACTGAACTGGTTTTAAGGAAATCTCTCCTCAGATCATTCCTGATCCTTTTAACGAGATGCCTCTAAAAAGGGCATGTATCAGAATTAGAATATATAAAAGCATGTGGTTGCCATGAAGTTATGCCAAGGTTTAAAACACATTTGGTGCAACGGGGATGCTGTGGACTGTTGCTCAGCTGGCTAAAAGAAGGCCCCACTCTACTGTCAATTGTCATCACAGCAGTACTGTGCGTCAAATGTCTGACTGCGAGGTAACTGAAGAGATTCTCTACTCTAGAAGGAGCAGAAAATAAATTAAATTCTGCACAAAAAGCCCTCAAACTACTGCTTTATTTTGCTTAAGCTGATGTATTAATTAAAATATCATGTAGAAAATGCCATTTAACCATGCCTGGAGCATAAGAAAAAAAAAATTGGATTTTCATCAAGAAATGACTTAACACGTTTAAATATTAAGACGTTTATTATCAGTCTTATAAATGGACTTACTGTGTTTTTGTGCTAGAACAGACCTAATGTGTGAGATTATTATGTTCTACATAGCTTCACCTTTCAAACGATGTTACACTTTAGAGGTTATAGACAAATCTGTTTAACATGTTCATCTGTGATTCGCAGTGTCAGTGGTCATATTTTGGCTCCTTAAAACAGGCTAGTTGTTATATCTGCAATATCTTAAATATCTCAGAAGGTTCGTCTGAAATAAACATACGTCCAATGTTTCTTTTTTGTTTGTTTTTGATGGACCTTTATAATAAAGGCTAGAAATGAAAAAAATGCTGCCCACTTTTCATAAATTAACTTAATCTATTCCAGCTTTCTGCAGGCCACCCTTTCAGCAGCAGATGTATGGCAAATTTCTCAGGAAGGGGGTGGTGGGTGTTATTGCATAACTGGAAACTAAAATCAGTCGACACACAAACTCAAACAGCTAGTTACAGGACTTATGTACAAAGGCAACAAACATACACAGACACTTTCTTCCCTGATACAGAAACTCTAAAAAGCTACCAAGTTTGACGATGAGTAAACAGCACTTATCTGTGATCCTACATTTGCCTCAGATTTTACTTCTGTTATCCGTCCTCTTCCTAAACACACACACTCCCCGTTTTTTTTTTTATAAGAGGACCTGCTGCACATGTCTTTCGCTGCCTTCCGCCTGAACGTCCCCCTGTCCCGCCTGCTCCCACACTGTGCTGCTCTCTCTCATAACCTCCGCCTGCTGGAGCGAGCCGCACGGCGGCGAGGACGACGACAGCACTGAATTGTCCAGCATGAAGGCGTTCCCGCTGGTGGACGACGGATCCTGGGACTGAGGCTGGGATGTGGACAGAAGCGGGTGGCTCAGAGCGGCTGTCTGCATGGTCTGAAGCTGCTGAGAGGAGGTCAGGATGGGGATCTGCTGGACGTGGGTCTGCGACTGGCTGACGGGCTGGAAGGTCATCTGGAGGATCTGGGTTTGCCCCTGGCTCTGCTGATGGGAGGAGTATGGCTGCATGTGCTGAAGCTGGGGCTGATGCTGGGTCACCACCGAGCTGGAATGGAGCGTCAGCTGCTGGATTGGAGGCTGCTGCTGCAGCTGCTGACCAGTCTGGACAAACTGGACGGGCATCTGGAGCTGGAGGTGCGTTTGCTGTTGGTTGTCAGCCGGAGAAGGGGGGTCAATGGGGGTCAGGGCAATTGTCACGGGGACCTGCATCGTATGGAGGCTCTGGTCTTGCCCCAGTAAAACCACCTGTGGGCTCACTTGTTGGTTTCCGTGTCCCCCATCCTGATCCACCTCGCCGTCTTGCCCCACCTGGCTCCCATCCATGCCCGTGACCTCAGCTTGTGTTTGGTTTCCTGGTAGCTCCAGGAGAGAGGCAGGGGTTGTGATCAAGGCGCCGGCGTTGGCTGCCAGCGCCTCGGCGATCAACACCTCCGGGTGACTCTTGGCCTTGTGGGCAACCACGCAGTCCTTCTTCTCAAACTTCTTACCGCAAATGGAGCAGGAGAACTGGTAGGTGGCATCAGCGTCGTGTTTCTTCATGTGCCAGTTCAGAGAGGCCTTCTGGCGGCATGTGAAGCCACAGATCTCGCATCTATCAACACAGGGAGGAAGCAGGGATTACAAAAACGATGCCTCAACAACCAGAAAGTTTCACAACAAACAAAAACAAAAATAGTACATAGCGGTCAGAAAACAGATTACAACATAACTGCACTATCCTCATCCTTTTTTCAATCACTACAACTCTGTAAAAACTTCTAATCATAGAAACTTTCCAACCAAATATATATAACTGAATGCAGAGAGGTAATGCAAGACACCTAAAATAAAACATCCAATCAAACAGAAGCATCAAAACAGTATCTAATGAAACAAACATTGATATTTAAATAGACTGATTTAATACACTTAGCAGCTCCACTATAAACTGTAATCTGTAGCTTACTACTGCTATAGGATAAGGTCATATTTTTTTTTTTTTTTTTTTTATAGCTGCGACAGGGATGTCTAATTGGGTAAATAAGATTCCTGTCAAGGGCTTGCTTGCAGCATTTCACAATAAAAGCACAGGTGAAATTTAACATTTCAGACTGCTGCTGAATTTTTGTTTTTGTACAACTTTTGAATCTCTTGGGGAGGCCATACATTTTAGGAAAAGCCCCAAAAGCACTGAAAAAAAAAAAAAAAAAAGTAGGGTCCATTTTGGTTCATCCAGAGCTGCGACTGGCTGCCGGTATATTTGGCGGTATTTCCTTGTACCAAGGCAGATAGCATCGCTGCTGGGGAGTGAGCAGTGTACTCGAGCTAAGAGAGGACAACAAGCCATCCCTTCTAGGGCTAAGTTAAAAGGAGTGAATGCACCTTAACAGACCTAGAGTTTTTTTATTGAAAGAACAATGTTTCAAACCGATTAGGATGTAAAAAAATGCAAAAAAAATAAACCCTTCATTGTACATCAGTTAAAAATAAGCAGAGAAATACGAACTGTAGAGGCTTCTCTCCAGTGTGTATCATACGGTGAACAGCGAGATTATGGGAGCTCTTGAAGGCCCGGGCGCAGAACTCACAGATATAATCTCTCTGGTCTATAATACCAAAAATAAAATAACAATCAATTACGTTTTACCTACATAGTTGAATAATTATGTCTCCAACAGATGAATGTGTGTGTACCTGTATGGTGCTTTGCGTGACGTAGCAGCTGCTTCTGTAGACGGAAAAGCCTTCCACAAGAAGGGTGAGGACAGACGTATTTCTTCTTGAGTAAGTGCTGATACTTTATATGATGCTAATGAGAGGGGAAAGGTGAGGAAATATTTTAAAATATTACATTAAATACAAAATTATGTTAGAAATAAACAAAGCATATAGCCATCAGTAATATTAATATCGGGCATTTGCCCAAATATGTTTGTTTAAACTAGGAGGGTCACATTTATACAGATACCCGGTGCTGAGGTAGGGATTTTCATTGGTTTCCATTCTTATTGAGTCCTTTAAAACACTTAAATACAGGAGTTTTTCCAGTCATATCTAACACTATCTGCGAATTAACAAAGATAACTTTTCCAATAAATATAGGGCTGAAACAATTAATCTGGTTAATTGTGATTAATCATTAAGATAATTGTCAACTAATTTAGTAATTGATTAATCATTAACTGGAGTGTAGAGACTCTAAAACATGCCTTCAGCTGACAGAGCAACCCACTTAGAGCAGCAATTATACATAAATTGTAAAAAAAAAAAATTATTTTTATCATTTTGAATTTAAGATTTAAAAAAAAAAAAACTCCAAGTGGGACATTTTAATTTCACCTGGTTTAATTTAATAAAAAATCTTCTTTAAGGAACCTTTGGGTTTCTGATTATTAATCGAAAAAATAATCAATAGATTAATCGATTTGCAAAAGAATCATTAGTTGAAATCCTAATTAAGAAAAGAGCAAACATTACATTATTTTTCATGTCCATACTTAGAATGATGAAAAAGTTAAATACTTTTCCAGATTTAAATCTCCTTTTGCTTTTGCCATTTTAAAATATACAACACAATGAGTGGCCCAAAAAGTAGGATATCAAGGTTAGAATATTAAACTGAACAAACAAAAAATATAAAAAACTGACAAGAAAGACAGTGATAAAAGGTAGAGACAAAAGTAAGAAATGGCACACATAAGGAAAGGAAAGAACTCAAAAAAGTAGTGAAAAATGGACCAAGGAAGGACATAAAAAATAAAAAGGGAAGGAAGGCGAAAATGAAAAATTGGGCCCTGAAGAATTAACACAGAAAGCAAAGGAAAGGACAAGACACAATGAAGGAACATTGTTTTTTGACAAACTCACTAAAAATAAACTATGTTCAATCCTGTCAACTAGTATAAGTTTAAGTCTGGAAAGTGTGTAACCTGCTGAGCTCGGGCCAAGCATCAGGTAGCTGCAGACACAAACCTGAAGGTAGCGAGGATGAGCTAAAACCGTCCCACATCCTTCTATCTCACAGCGTACGTACTGGACCGGAGGCTTCTTCCTGAACAAACCAATCACGGCACGCTTTAAAATGACCCACATCTTCACAGACAACACCTTAACAAGCCCCATGCCATACACACTCTCACCTACGTAAGCAGATTAAAGTACATTTCTAAACACATGAATGAAATAATACATTGACATGTTAAAGTTTCTCTCACCGTCTCTTCGGCAGTCGTGGAGTTTTGTCATCTTTTTTCCTACGGCCTCTCCTAAAAAGAAACAAATGGAAGGAAAACTGTTAGATAAACCCAAAACCAACAAACTATGATTCTGATTTTAAATCCCCCCCCCCACATAAAAACCCTCGCCTGGCTGTTGGACTCACTTCCTGGGTCCATCTGGATCTTCAGCTACTTCCTCCTCCAGCTTTACTTCCTCTTGCACCACCTCCAGGTTATCTGAACCCTCTACTTTTATCTCAGAAGCCTCTTTTTCCTTTTTAGGTGCTTTATCCTTTTCTTTTTTGTCCTTCTGTCTGGGAGGAACTTTGCGCTTTGGTTTAGGAAGGTCCCTAAAAACAAAAAAAATAAGATCACACCCCATGTAAGTATTTTATAATTCTAATAAAGACACATTTTCTAGTGAAAATATATATATATATATATTTGTGTTAACAGAAATGCGACCCCTCCTTACAGAAACCTTTCAGCCCTCGGGTCGTAGCTTTGATCGTTTAAGTCATCTCTAAAGGGAACATCTTCATCGCTGCTGAGTCCGTCCTCCTCGTCGTCAACGCTGCTGAAAACATTAAAAAGAATCCAAATACTCAAATGACCTGCAAACAGAATATGATGCTTCCTGACGGGACTCTGTGACGCAGAGATGTACCTCTGACTCTGCGGCTGATAGCTAAAATCATTCGAGTCATCCTGATAAGGAATCGCCTCGATATCCAGGGCTTGTTCAGCTCCCTCCTTGCCGTCATCCTCGGTCTTTTCACTAAAGGGAAACAACAAAGTGTTTAGAGAGGTTTTCTAACTCTATGGGAAGTGGGCCACCTGTCCAGAGGGAACCCTGTTGGCCTTTGGGAACCTATTGGATTTCATCTGTAGTGAACTGCACGCCTTACGGTTAGAAAAGTTTCACGCAGCAACGCGTTGCTAAACTTTCTACTGTTTCCTGTTCAAGATGTTATTTATATAGTAGCTGGATCTCTTAATCTCTCTGGATCTCTCCCTTTTCATTATTTTTATGAGATGGCAAAAGATTAAATCAGAGTCCCCTGGATACAGACGCGCCAGCTGCAGGTGTGGCAGCTGACAGTTCTGTCATCACCGAATGAAAATGTAATTTATAATTACAGTGTTACATAATATATAAAGTGGACAATTGCTTAGTAACGACAAATGTATACATTTAGTGAGAAAACAGGTTCGGATAACAGCTGACTGATTGCACAAAACTCCAACGTCAAGCCTGGAGCACTCGTAAAATCTGTTCGTACCCGAGCGCAGATAAAAAATAGGAAGAATGATATTTTCAGCTAAATCACACGGACGAACATTTTAACAACAAATATGTTCGTGTTGTGTTGAAAATATGGACTAGTTTTACAGTGGAATGAAATGCCCTCATAGTCCTTCTCAAGGTTGCAATAAACCCTTCTGCTCGTAAACGCTGCCTCATATTACAAAGATTTTATATGATATTTGATAAGAGGCCTTAAGAGATCTCTTATCACAAACCATACAGGGAGCATGTTAAAGACGGGTTTGTGGACATAAACCCAAAATTTAACTCAAGCAGAAAGTCTGTATGAAGAAATCTTTAAGGCTGAGTTATAGTTGCAATTTTGGGAGCAAGCGTGTGAGCCTGAAAAAGCATTTCACATGTTTATACTTAACCCTGACACAGGTGGAGTATTAAAAATAATAATAGTACGGGGGGCAGCGTTCCACATAAAGGTAGTGAGAGAGGAGAAATGCTTCACACACCGAAAACAGCTTTGTTCCCCATGAAAAACACATTATTTCTTATTTCAATTCTGTTTCTGGACAAGTTTAAGACTACAACAATAAAGAGGAAACCACCTTTTGATCTCTTTGTAAAGGAAATAAAACAGTTAAATTACAGCTCGTAATTAACGTATAAAAGCTAACTTTATAACGGACATTTGCGCTCTTATGTCAGTGAGGCAGACATCCTGTCTACTTTAAGGCTAGGCTTAAAACTTTCCTTTTTGATAAAGCTTATAGTCAG